GTGTATATGTATATGTACAGGTACATGTATACGTATATGTATATGCATGCATCAATCTATGCGGTTCTGTGTGTGGGTATGGTGCATGAAATGGGTATGTATGGTGGCAACGTCAACGTAGCGTATGGCCGTTTTGCATTAACAAAATCCTGTGGAACCTTCTAGAACCCTGTAGAATCCCACACTGCCCTTTTGAAAGATCCGATTTGTACTCACATGTTGTTTTTCCCCGTCGTGCTGTGGCATTCTATGATGGAGCTTCTGCGGCTGAGGCCGGCAACCCTTTCAGAGGGCCGTGAGCCCAGCACAAGGAGATGAGAAAAATGAACAAGGGAGTATAGTTAGCGTGGTGAACTCAAACACGTGTGGTATTTGGAGGCTTGCGATAGATGTTGTAGGTGAAACTCCTGCACTCAGGGGGGGTGGGTTCTAGGTTAGTTGGGATGACTGCTGCATGCTTCTGATGGTCTGCAGCATGACAAGCTGAAGATTGCAGCCGTGGCACGCTGAGGTTGCGGGAGGGTGAGTATGTCTTCCACTCGGCACCTTCGGCGTTTTCGCTGATCGCTCCATATGTGTGAAAGCCTCAGACGGAATCCAACGGCACCCCTTGTGGAGTGCTGAAGCGGGCTATGGACTGGGCGGTCCTTCAATTCGCGCCTCTTTGCACAACTGAAGGCGCTACCCCAATTTCCGTGAGCCGCGCTTCACTCCAAGGGCCGGTGCGGGATGCTCGGCTGGCCTGCACAGGCAGCATGTGCTTAGCACCGTTACCTGTGCACGTTTCTTCCGGACGTTTTGCTCATGTTCTGTCTTGCATCCCAGGCAATGCTGCACCACGTCCATGGCACCTTCCTTCTCGTCGGGGGCGTGTCTGACGGCTTTTGCCTGGCCGATACCTGGGCAGCGTTCCCCAGACCAGGGGGTTTCAAAGCTGCGAGTTGCGGTTCGCAATAGCCAGTTTTGACAAGTCGAACGAAGGCTAATCTAGGGACGTGCAGTTGTTTTTTGAATTCTCCCATGGCGCATGCTTGCGGTTGGGCAACTGACGTCCTTCCACTAGTCCCCCTTCTGCAGCCTCGGCTTGCCAAGGTCTCTGAGACTGGTGTCGACTGGACACAGGTCGAAGGCGTGATTTCCCAGGACTCTTTGGAGCGTGCCTTTCTCCAAAGCACACATGAATTTCGGAAGTATTGGGTGTAGTGATCTGGACTCCTCCTTTATCTTGTAATGCTTTGGGCAATGTGGCATGCTCCAGCAACTCTTCTAGCACTCGCAGATGCACATGCGCACCGGTTATGTGTTGAGTGGAAGAGCTGCCAGCAGAACCGCAAAGCCCAAGTATGGATGCAGCTATCGCGACATTGTCGCAAGGACTTCTTTCGAGCGATTCCCCTTGCTTGAAGCTCAGCGTGTGCGGCAAGCCCGGGGCATCTATGACCGATATGGACAGGGTTGATGAATGATACTACAAACTGCGCAACCAGAACTGTTGCAGCGACTCAAATCAGCCTGGTGTCCTGGTTTCTATCTGTCTAGCCACTACAGTACTACTCCCAACTCAGATCGCCCACTCGCCCTCCGTCGTGGACAAAGACGGTTGCATTGTGCTCAGCTGGACTGTCTAGCTCTCTGATGCAGGCAGGGTCAGGCGGGGTTTGCACAGCCGACCCCTCAAGCCGTAGTTTCCCAGACTGCAGCTTCGGCCAAGGCGTTTGGATTCTTGGTGGGCAGTGCAATGACGATTCTGGAACCCTGTGGAAGACGTTCCTGACCCAGCAAGAAATTATACATTAGCTTCAGACGTGCAGATCACGTGGGTCGTGAGATCACAGAGCATAGCCAGCAGATTTGACGGCTTGCGTTGCCAGCTCTGAAGCGCTCTGAGGTGTGACATCGGGCGTTCCTGGATGCACATGCCCAGATCCCGTGCCATCCCTTTTGGCCGGACACCAAGGCTAGGCCAGAACTTCGCTGATCTCGTGTGCCAGGAACCCCAAATCAAGGTCTTAGATTGACTTGGAGTTTAGGGCTTCCCCAGATTCTTATGCACCACCTCAAGGTCAGGAAGTGCCGCCCAGCTTCCCATCAACCTTTCGAGCACCCCGGCGGCAAATGCGCAAGATTTGCTCGAATACGACGATCGGACAGGTTCATTCAAGTCGGGCCCATGAAGGGGGAAGGTGCTCTGTTGTTTGCCGGAGTTGGACAGCGTCTCGCGCGAGAAGTCGCGTGCTATCTGGTACCGTCGGGCTTGGGCACATGTCAGGACTTATCATTCGGAGCTGAGGGAAGGCAATCCCAAGCCAAAGCACGTTTGCGGACCTGGGCATCCTCTCAAACTTGGTAGCGAACAACAGCTCAGGCTTTTCAGGGGTTGAGGGCTTGAGTCCAGTGCATCTGGCTACCAAGGACCATGCGTTGGCGATCTTGGGGGGTGCCCTGGCTGACCAGCATGGGAAGCTCCGTGCGGGGAGGGTAGAGTGGTGCAAGCGAGGTCTGACATACCTCAGACAATGCTACATGTGTCGTCGTCTGCAGGTTGGCAGCTGGTAATAGCGGATGTCTCACCGGACAGCAGCGAAGCCATTTGGAGGCCCCGGAGTAGGAGTGATGCTGCTGGTGGTGGTGTTGATGACGATCAACTTAAATGTTCTGGGTACCAGCTGTCGTGGTAGCTGGTAGACTCGACTGTCTAAACTCGCATTCAGCAATCATCGCTAGCAATCCTCTGAGTGTTCGTATCATTAGATCATTCGATAAGCCCTGCATCCTTTTAACTCTTCTGGCTCCGGCCTCGGGTCCTGGGCCCCTCGTCAGAAGCCCCATTAGCGCATTGTTTTTTTCACACACTTGTGTACCAATCCATCTTACAATTCTTACCTGCTGCGGCCCTTTCAGACAGTCTTTCCGGTGACGTAACGTTCACGTGCTGTGGGCTTTTGCCTCTTACTAGGGTGTGCACTTGGGGGTTAACTGAAGTTTAAGTGTTGTTGGCCTGACCTCACGCCGCCTGGGGGTGACTTCACTCCTACGCCGTGTTGGGGGCGACTTTGCGCCGGCTGGGCCGACTTAAACCTAATGTGCAAGTGGTGTTTATATGTACGCCTGGTTTGCCTCTTTGGCCTGAAAGACTTCCGGCAGGCTGAGTGGTTGCAAAATTGTGGCACCACTTGGCGGCCAGGTTTGTGGCTCCGGATGCCGAAAGGGTTCAGCGAGTTGGAGGTGGACGTGCGCCGGGCTCAGTCTTGGCTTGAACCCAGCAGCCTACGTCGCGAGGCTCCGTGAGCCAAGACGGCCCAACAGCGGCCAAACCTCTGAAAATATGGGCACCGGTGTCAGGAACACGAAGCTTCAATGCGGCACAACAATCCTGGACCCTGCAACCACGAAACATACCACGACTTCCAGCACCCCGCGCCTTCAAGGCTGACGATCCCAGCCGTGCCGCCCCACTGGGCTTCGGCCTTCGTGCCTTGGTGCAAGACAAGAGGCCCAAGATCCCCGCAGCCCCGAGCTCTCAAACCGATGCTTCGAGCGTCCGGAATGGAGTTTCTTAATTTCAAGACCGGTGCATTTCGAATTCATGGCTCAGGGGCCATGCTGGATTGCAGCCCGTCATTCTGAAGTCTTGTGTGCAGTACGTATTGAAGCCGAGGTCGTTCCCCCAAGCTGCTGGCCACCTCCACTGCTGGACTGTTCCTCGTCGGAGGCGCATGGAATCTGTCTGGAGACACTTGTCGGTCATTGCGGACCCCTGCTGAACGCCGCACGGACGTTTATTCATCTTGGATCCACATGGTCTCTTTCTCGCTGCTTCTGCCAACTCGTGCAGTTGGTTCCTATAAGCGGTCATGACTCGTTCGCACCAGCATCTCGCCTCGCTATCCGCGGACCCAAGTTCTGCACCCATTTCGCTTGCATGCAGTGCATCCCACAATGAACTTTCGTTTGAGCAGTTTGCAGTTTGGTGAGGCCACCTTTGCACCCCCGGAGAGAGGCTCTGCAGCGCGGTCTTCAACGACGCCTCTGAGTTGCAGAGAGCTCCCACATGTCGCGGCGCCCAGCGACGGTGTCGTGCACAGCTCAGGTTTGGTTTAGTCCAGACGGTGGTGCTCATTGGCATTGCAAGACGAAGAGCTACGCTGCGGGATGGGACATGCCCACGGCTCGGTACGTAGTTTCTCGCAAGCTGCTACTCCTTAGGTGGCGCTCCAGCATACTGTGGTTGCATCAGCATTTGAGTTTCTGCAGCGCAGGACCAAATAGATGACAGCACGATGCCTCGAATTCTGAATCACAGGATTCAACTCCTCAACTGGCACGGCGTCGGCATCCACTTCAGGGCAGTTGGCACCTCAGCTGCTGCTTTGGTGAACCTTCTGCAAAGAGTGTGCCACGAGCCAGGAGCTGACGCAGGACGACAGTATCTACATGTACGGGCACCTAGCGACCGGGAAAGAGGGTGGTGTGGGAAGTAGCCAATGCAGAAGTCGTATTTGGACAATCAAGGCCGGGGTTTGTGTTCCGGATAGTCTTAACGAGGCCCGACATAGCACAACCAGCTTTTCAACTCTCCTCCCTGTATAGCACTCAGCGCCAGCTAGTCCCAATGCCAGCGGTTTGTCAAGGCTTGGTGGCCAGATCCCGGGGACCGAGGAGCCCGGAGTGGCACAAGCTGCACAAGGATCTGTAGGACTTTGCAGTGATGCAAAGGTCTGAGGTTTTTGAAGTGCCGTGTTCAGTGTGGCATCGTTTTGATTCGGGTTGTGGACGTGCAGCGACACGGAGCCAGCTCGTGTCTTGATCGAGGAAGCTTCCGCTTTCGTTTACCAGTCGTACCTTGGAGCCTTGGTTGCACATGCTGCGAGATTGACGCATGGTGTTTGCAATGTGCTGAATTACTCTTGAGAGTTGGTGTGTTCCGCATGTATGAATAACTAGCTCTACAGTAGCTCAGCAGCTACGAGGACTTGAAGACGTGTACCTGACGGACAGAGAGCAGGCGACTTAATGGCCTCCGTGAGGCTGCGACATGCTCCCAGCGCTCTTGAGCTTCTCGCACACTGAATCAACTTGAGGCCCTTCATGATCCTGCCCGGGTCCATCGAGATGGGGGAGCCCCCTGCGCAGGGGACTTGGCCAGCTTGCACAAGTGGAAGCCCACTGACTGCCTCTCGGCCCCTCTCCTAACAGTGACAACAAGTTTGCCCAAGTTGCAAGCACATTGTTGATGAGTTGCACAACCAAGTTACAAATTCTGCGCAACCGTGCGGTTTCGGACCGAAGTGAAATCTGTGCACAGCTGTGTTAGTCTACATACCTGAGCTGGACAGTTCTTCGTACAATCGGACTTGGTGCCGTTGCTGAGGCTTCCCACAGACGTCTTCCGGCTCTTCTTCGGGGACTGCTGTTTGCTGAAGCGAAGCTGTTTTCCAGCGACTCCTTTCTTTGCTGCACGTCAAGGTTCATCCCTAGTCAGCCTTCCACCGTGCAACCCACAGCCGTGTACAAGCCACACTGCCCTTGCAAGACGCCATTGGTGGAATTTTGGGCTCCGACCCCCACGAGAACCAGAAGTCCGACCCTGCATCGCCAGGAGCAGGTGAGGCCGGAGCCCGGGCGCCGCGCTCGCTTCGTCGAGCTGCGTGCGGCTGGCATGTTACTGCTTGTCCCCAGGCGCCCCAGCAGCCTTGGTCGCACGCTCCACATCCACACGACGGATCAGAAAGCTTGTGTTAAAACTGTTCGAGCTTCTGCCTTGTCTCCAGCTGGCAACTACACATACGAGAACGAGACGGAACGGGGAGAAGGCTCGGGTGCAGAGGCAACCTTTGGGCAGGAGATTGGCCTGCACCAGCGATTGCAGGAATGGATGACTGGGATGTCAGAGCAGCGACGATCTCGACGACCGGGAAGGTGCTGCTGCTCGAACTAGGTGTAATGGAGGCTTCAGCTCAACTTGTCTGGTTGCCTGTGTAATCTGTCTAACAGACGCTGGGCGCTCTGCCTAATGTACACACTTCTATGCTGTGCAGGAGCTCGTCCTTCGGCCGCTCATGCCACTTCTTCAGGGACTTGTGCTATTGACGTTTATGCATGCTTCATCCAGTCTTTGTGACTTGAAGAACCCAGAAAATCTCCTCAGAACTCAGCAGGACGGCGCTACCAAGTTGAGATCGATGCCCACGTAGTCCAGGCAGGTTGGCGAAGCATCAGTCGTGACACGGCGCCATCCATGTGTGACAACATGCTACGTCGCATGGAAGCAAGCCACAGGAATGCACATCCACTTGCTCGCACATTCGCTACAGCGCTTGAAGGTATGCATGCATGTGAAGAATCTGAAACCGATCTCAAAAGGTCCGAATCACCAAGCATTCAGAACTTGCCAGGACCGGGCTGGAAACCATTTCGGTTATCTGCGCGGTCCGGGGCTCCAGGCCGGCCTTAGACAATGCTCTGAAGCAAAGCACGAGATGATTAAGGTTGGACAATGTGTTTCACGAACAAGCGCAGTGTGGTCCTTTTCCGTTGTCCACAGGTCCACATCCTCGAAGATCGAGAGGCTGCAAGTGAAGTTGTCATGGACAGACTCGAAATACAACCTTCATCTGCATCAATGAATCAATCTACACGAGTGTTTTTGCCGTTTAGGACTGACAGGGTTGACCAGGCGCCGCGCCTCATGTCGATGATGCCCGGCAGTGGCTCGACAGGAGACTGGAAGCTCGTGATGCGACACTTTGAGCAAGACCTGAAGTCTGACGTGGCAAGCAAAACCATGCCTATCACATTGCCGTGTGTGTTTAAAGAGGAGTCGAACCCTGGGCTGTGCTTACCTTGACCTTCAGCGAGGCCGCCGAAAGCACGACATATTGCGAGTCGGGCTGTCTGGACTCCAACGCATTGCAGGCTGTGGAGAGTGGTCAGGGCAGCCTCCAGGTGGCGTGCACCCTTCTAGCTCAAACGCTTTGGAGGCTTTCCACCCTCTACAGCTGTCAGGTGATGCCCAAGATCGCTTACGGGGCCATGTTGGAGCTTCCGGTGTCTCAGGCAGTCCTAGTGCGCGAGAAGGCGCTGCAGCACCGTCGCACGTCGGTTCCCAGCTTCACTGAGAGCAGAGAGATTTGGGCAGGTAATCTTCAAGCTTCCGCCGGGACAGCGCTACACACCTGACATGGTCTGGAGCCGACTGCTTGCTGTCTCGCTGTCTCTTTGGTAAGCCTAAAGGGAGAAGTGATGCAGCGCCACAGTATGGAAGCCGAGCTGTAGCTCATGCGCTTACGACAATTAGTGGTTGAAGTCCGCAGCCTCTCACACGCTTGCTATTGAGGAATACATGGTCTCCTTGCCTACGGGGCTTCTCCGCGATCGATTGGGGAACGAGGCACCATTCTTGCGATCTGGCACCTTCTGGGCTATGACATGAACACAGCCATATCTCGTATGGGATTCAGACAGGTTGCAGCTACCAGTGCTGGATCCTTTACCACGCTGAGCGGGCTGACGCCTGAGCTGTGAAGCAGAAGTGGGATCAAGGAAGTTGAAGCGTGGTCATTTTGCGGATTTTGCACCTCAGGGTGGTCACCACGAGCGATTACACCGGTGCCGGCATGTGCGGACCCTGTAACCTGAGGAGCGCTAGCCGAGTTCGTAGACAGCTGAGTGATGTAAGCATGCTATGTATTATAAGGCCTCGAATTCCAACGGCCGACGAAGCTGTGGAGGACGGACAGATTTTGAAAGCTGGATTGCACAGAGCAACTCTGTGACTTCTTGCTAGCTTTCGCCAGGGCTTTCCAGACCTTCTGGCAACGTGGCCCTTCCAAGGTGCAACGGACGTGCGCTGCACAGAAATCCAAAACCGCGTGAGGATCATTTAGTTCCATGCACAACGGAATCCTACGGGTAGATCTGCTGCGTGGCTGTAAGTCTTGCTGGTTAAGTTTGCCGCTTAGGTACCTCCTCGAGCGAACATCGAAGTTTTCCTTTACTTCGCGGCCCCTGTGGAGCCGCAACCTCGTAAACACTGCATACAATGGGTGTGGTCCATGGGTTTGCATGCAGCACCCGCTCGAAGAAGGAACCTGATGCCACATGTCGTGCTTTGAGGTGGACTTTGGTGGGCCAAGTGCGCCTGCGCAACGAGACTGATGTGATGAGCCCTGGCTGGAGACACTACCTTCGCGGAGTTGACTTCGTCTGTTGCGACGGGCAGCCAATAACGATGATATGATGATCCGAGTAGTTCTGCTAGAGACCAATTACCTGTGACTACCTGATACATGCGTAGGGACGGCACGTGCAACAATGTAGGATGGTCACGCGGCGATAAACCGGGGAGTAATGCTCTGAGGACGACGATTCCTACCAGCGAGTATGTGCCAGGGAGGCCCGAATCCGTCGCGACTTGCTTGTGCCGGCGTGCCTGGAGTATCAGAGTCTCAGCCGTAAACGATCACTCGATGTTGCCTCTTTGTCAGATCGCTAGCCGGAGCCTCATTGATCTTCAATCGCCAGGCCCGGACCCCTCGATGTGCTTCCGCAGCACCGCGCTGTGAAGGTGGGGGGTCAACTGCATCTCTGACTTCACCCACCCTCACTTGAAGCTCTTTACTTGATTCTGCTTCTGCTGTGTCCTCCGACAGTGCTATGGAGTGCTACGGTTCAGGTGAGACTGCCGACGCCTGGGCTTGGCACTCAGCCAGCTTTGGCCATGAGCCGCCGTAAACTCGTGGTTCGCCAAAAGCGAGAGCCACCAGCTCAACTCAAGTCACGGCTCGCGAGCAGCCATCGAAGAAGCCACGCAGAGACAGCTCAGAAAACCGAGTCTTGCCGTTCTGCAGGGGCTTCCCGATGCTGCGGCTTGGGCAGAGCTACACCTTGATACTGGATTCTGGCTCGCTGCAGGAAGCCTGCACGAGAGATGCTTTCATGTGGTTCTGTTGCAATGATCTGGAGACAGCCGGCTTGAGGGTCTCGTACGTGACTTGTACTCTCAGTCTTGCTATTCTCTGTTGCAGCCTGAAGCGGAGGACATTGGAATGGGGAATATGAGCGAAGCCATCCGGGTGGAGTTCAAGTGTCTGCTTCTCGCCTACACATGGAACCATGCTTCACTGAGTGAATGTGGACCTTCTTGCTGCCGTGCAACGGACCTCCTCTCTTGCCATGCTCCATGTTCATGTTGCGCATTCTGCCGCAGGGAGATGCTGCAGGGCACAGCCAGTCCTCGCGCTGTGGCCGCCGACGTTGCGCAGGGCGAGACCCAGGCACCTTTTGGGCTCCAGGGCCGTTGGAGTTTGAGGCAGTTGACTGGGCCGGGATGACCACAACGCCAACATACATTCTGTCGCAATTCATGTTGCTTTCTTCCTGGCTAGTCCTACCGATGCATTGTTGTAAGGACGATCAAAATTATGTCGCCTAGATCTTGATGTTATCACCTGAAGGATTGCAACTGCTACTCTTGTGAAGGGTGGCTGGCAAAATCGATATCTTCGCAGGTGCCAGGATCGCGGCACATCTTCAGCGTATGGTACAGCGAGGCTGGTTAGGGCCTGGGCTGCACGACAGTCTGCATCAATCCGCTGCTGTTCTGTGCTTATTGTCATCGTTCCTATCATCGCACGGTTCTCTCCTCTTGCTGCTGCTGCTCCTTGTCCTACAAATTACCACCACCACCACCACGACGACGACGACTACTACTACTCCTCCTACTCCTACTCCTACTCCTACTCCTACTCCTACTCCTCCTCCTCCTACTACT